CCCGACACCAACCAGGATCCCCTTCCCCCGACATTCCCCCCCCCGCTGCGTGCCACCTTCCGCCCCTGCCCCCCTGATCTCGACCCATCCCTGCGCCCTTCCCCGATCCCTCCGCGCTTGCCGTGCGATTCCCCGACCCCAACCTTCATCTCCCTCCCCCCCCCTGATTCCCTCGATTTCCCTTGATCCCCACTCTCCCGACTTCCTCCCTCCAATGCGCAACCCGCCCACGACTTCCTCCCGCCCACACGTTTCCCCCCTACCGTCATCATCATCATCATCATAATCAATCTACCCGGACCCTGCCTACCACGCTACCAGCCGTTCAATCGTAGATAGGATGGCTCCGCCCTCGATTTACATCAAAACTCATTTATTCCTTTATTTATTATTATTATTATTATTTTTTCTTTCTAGAATTCATTTTATTTTTTTTGAAAATTACAAAATACTCAATCAACTATCTATCTCGACATTTCTTTCTCAAAAATATTTTCTTTTTCAAAATTTTCGAAAATACATAGGAGTACGGCATTTCATCTTCGAAATTCGAAAATCATTTCAATTAATTCTTTTTTGAAATTCTTGTAATTCAAAAATATTTTAGAATTAATTATTGTCGTTCGAATTAATTAATTCTTTTTCGAAAGTTTTGAAAATACGTTAGAATTAATTAAATTCTTTTTCGATATTTCTTTTGGAAATTCAAAAATAATTCTAATTATTTTTTTTTCGCAGTATTTTTTAATTCACATATTCGTTTTTGCAATTTTTGTTGAAATTTGGACAATTCTTTTCCGCAATTCTTTTTTGGAATTTTCTTTTCAGAAGTACGTCCATTTTTTTTCCCTTTGAACTCCTTATTTTTGACTAAATTGGATTAATTCACGACTGAATTAATCTCTTTTACACGGAATTAATCACCCCTTTTCGAAGTTATACAACATTACCCCGAACGCAAATTAGAATAAATTTCGTTAGAATTTATTTTTCTTGGAATTAATTTTTTTCTTTCCTTCATTTGGAAATTCCTAAAAAAATTGCTTTCATATTTTATTGAAAGTTCGGGACGGGCCGAACGGCCGAACCCGAACGCTCGAACGTCCGTGCCCCCCTATAGACACGTTCGGCCGTTCGAACCGAACGCGGACCAAAAAAAAAAAAAAAGAAAGAAAGACGTCCAAAACATCTGAAAAAAATATATGTTATGCAGACAGACAAACTGAACAACATTTGCCTCAGAGTTACCTCCAAATTCAATACCAAATTCGAATTAAAAATAAATAACGGAAAACAAAAAATTTGAAGAGAGAATTATAATCAGTGTGCGGGCGGGCACGTTTTAAACCCCTCCATCTTTGAAGATTTTTTTTTTTTTTTTGGATCAGTGAATTTCCCTGAAAATTCAGAAGTGTGTATTTCACATGATACAAAACTCGTTAAAAAAACATAAAAAAATAAAGAAATTGTTTAGGCCCCGAAACAAAGTGAAAACAAAAAGAGAAAAGAGTAAAAAAACAAAATAGTGAGTGGGTGAGCACGTTTTGACTGCTATCTTTGGCGATTTTTCATTTTTTTTTGGCTAAGCAGAATTATCTCAAAATTTAGAGGCATGTACCTCACATCATAGAGAACTCACAAAAAAAAATAAAAGAAAAAATAATAATTTTTAGGCCCTGAAATAATTTTTGGCGGGGGCCGAACCTCTTCAGGTGCGGAGGGGTTCGGCCCCCGAACGTGACCCCGAACGCCCGAACGTACGGAGGTTGGCCCGGGGGCCTCGGTACGTACGGGCTGGTAACCCTGCTCTGAAATTAATTTCGAATAATTCAAAATTAATTCTTGCTCTGTGATTCTCTGCTACCTTCATAGCTAAGATGACGCTCTATTCTTGTAAATAGGAATTGGCCACCACGCCAAACCAAGACCTCCCAACGTGCCACCGCCTACGTCGTTGCCGCTGCTGCTATCACATCCGTTGCTACTGCTTGACTTCCGCTCCAGCCACGTTATCCACCCCCTCTTCCCTCACCATGGCCCAATATTCCGTCAACAGCATTGCCCGCGAACTCGCAGGCGATCAGCCAACTTCGACCACCGCCACCCCGGAACTCGCAACTATCCTCCAAACGCCACCATCAACACCACCATGGCCGCCATCTCCGATCGTGTCACCACACTCGAGGGAAACTGCCCCGCCATCACGGTCGTCACCACGACCACACCCCCCTTCTCCACACCCCAACCCTCCCCCTCCTCCGGACAAGCCTCCGCTTCAACCTCCACACCAACACCGTCCACCTGTACACCCCCACCCTCATCCACCACTACTTCCACCATGGTCGCTCCACCTCCCCCCTCGCCCAAGACGACAACCCCCGTCGTCACACAGTCATCAACCGTCCCCTCCCAATCAAAACCGCTCTTATCTACCTCCACTATTACCTCAACCATCCCCAACTATACCCAAATCATTCCACAAGCTATGTATCCCCCTCCACTCCTTCCCCCAAATGCTCTCATCCCCACCAACCCCGCCAATGATTTCACCCGGTTCGACTTTCCCTATCCCACCCTTGATTTCAACACCTTTGCCACCATTAACCCTAGAGAAGGCAAAATCCCCCCATCATTCCGCGTCAACGAAATCCCCACCTTCTCGGGCCAACCCCATGAGGATCTGCTCTTTCTCACCAAACTCCAACAAGCCTTCGCCCGCCACGACATTCCCGTCGTCCACTGGCTCCCCATCGCTGGCGGCCAACTTCTAGATAACATTGCTCGCTGGTGGTACACCAAAATGTCTAATTACCATCATGCCGGTCTCCGGCCTCACACCTTCCTTGAGTGGGCCACCCTCATTACCTCCACCTTCCGCCCACAAAAAACGGTCGACGACTATATTGACCAATTCTGTCGGCTCCAACAAACCGGACCAACCGACCGTTTTGTGCAATACGTCTGTCAACATATTCCCTTTGACGTTGTCAGCGATTTCGCTTTCAACTCCCGCGTTAAACGCGTTTGCCGCAAAGACCTAGCGGTCGCCCTTGTCCATGAGCCCCCCATGACCCTCGCCGACCTCCTCACCCGTACCCTCCAACTCGACCGCATCCTCTCCCCATACAAGACCGCACTTACATCGGCCCCTCCCCGCCTCGCTTCTTCCACAACATCGCCTCCGAGGACACCACCTCCACCACCTCCTCGAACGAGTTGACCTCCCCCGACCTTGACACCCTCTCCGATCCACTAGACACCACATCACTCTCCCCCGACGAACTCTCTGCCATTCACCTCATGCGAATGGGAAAGAGAGATCGCTCCAGCCGCCATTTCCCGACCACCCCTCCGGGCTGCCTCAAGAAACTCACACCCGAGGAAAGAGCCTACCTTCAGGCGAAGGGTGGATGTTTCCGTTGTCGCCAGTTAGGACACCAACAAACTAACTGCCCCAATGCTGGACAGTTCACCCACCAATCCTTGGCCCATCGACCCGCAACCTCCACGTCACCCCCCTCCACAACCGCGGGTCCCTCCTCGTCCTGAACATAGTCCCAGGACCTCGTCCCGACATCGACAACTCGTCTGCCAACCAACACGTCGGTGACATCTCCCGCCCCACCGACGACCCATTTGGCATCGACAATTCGTTTGCCTCCCCCCTCCCCGGTGACACCCTCTCCATCGGATGACCCCGAGGTGTCGCAACCTTCATCACTTGAGACGCCCCCCATTGCTTCGTGCTCCTCCACCCTCCTTCCAAATCCATCCTCTGTCACCTTCTCCAATGTTGTTGAGGAACAAGCTCGACTCGATCGGCTTATCTAGTTAGGCAATGAACAATGTCGCCTCAATACCATTATCTCCACCCCCAACTCATCCCTTTTCCACCTCAAATTCATCGCCGCAACCCTTGGTGCGTCTACCATTAAGTTCCGGGCCCTCCTCGACATAGGAGTCACCGGTAACTTCATCACCGACGCGTGTGTTCGGAAAACCGATCTTACCTCTACCGGTTACGACTCCCTGATTACGATCCGTCTAGGGGACAAAGACACCGCCGTCGTAGTGGACCGCACGGTTCCCGAGACCACCATGACAGTAGGAACCCTCTGCAATCAGGTCTCATTTGATGTCATGCATTTGATGTCTTGCATTTGATGTGCGACATTGTCTTAGGAACACCGTGGCTGGACTGCTACGTGCCATACGCATTCCACCCCAACTTCCCTTGCCTCACTAACCCCCTTGACACAACCATCGACATTCCCTATCTCCCATATCCGACCTCCCAAGGCTTCGCCACCCCGCATCAATTCCTCCACATGGCCCGCATGAACCCCGACTCTGCCTGCTATTGCCTTATTCTTGACCGCGAAAGTCCCGAGGACTTACTGCCAACGGACAAACCCGATCAAGCCCTCCCCTCTGACCTCGCCCTCACCTCTATCCTCGACGGGTTCAAGGACGTCTTCCCTGAGTCCCTGCCTGCCAGATTACCCCCGGATCTTGGCGTATCCCATACCATCGATTTAAGGCCCGGACATTCTCCACCTTGCCGCCCTCCATACCAACCCCCGGTCCCCGAAGCCGAAGAAATGAAGCGGCAACTCAATGAGCGCCTTGAAAAAGGGTTCATTAAGTCGAGTTCATCTCCCTTCGGTACTAGCTGCCTTTTTGTAAAGAAAGGTGGAGCTTAGGAACCCCGCATGTGCACAGACTACCGCGCCTTGAACCGAATCACGATCAAGAACAAGTACCCCTTACCTCGGATCACCAAGCTCCTTGATCGACTTTGTGGAGCCAAATATTTCACCAAGGTTGACCTTCGTAGTGGCTTCCACCAGATCCGTATCCGCGAGTAGGACACCCGTAAGACCGCATTTCGCTTTCCGTTCGGGCACTATGAGTTCCTCGTAATGCCTTTCGGACTCACCAATGCCCCCGCCACATTTCAGTGCGCCATGAATCACATCTTTCGTGACGTCCTCGAAGTCTGTGTCATCATGTACCTTGATGACATCCTCATCTTTAGCCCCACCTTCGAGTCCCACCTCCAACATATTCCCCAAGTCCTCTCTATCCTCCGAGAGCAGAAATTTTACGCCAAGCGCAGCAAATGTACGTTTGCCGCTTCGAGCGTCGAATACCTCGGCCACATTGTCTCCGCTGAAGGCATCCGTACGGAACCCTCGAAGGTCACAACCCTCGTCGAGTACCCCCCGCCCAAGACCCTCCTCCAACTCCGTTCCTTCCTCGGCCTTGCCAACTATTACCCCCCGTTCATTCGCAACTTTTTTGAGGTCGCTTAACCTTTCCATGAACTCACCCGCAAGGACGAGCCCTTCAATTTGAACGATCGTTGCCAACATGCTTTCGGCTTACTCAAGCAAACCATCACCACGGTCCCTGTCCTTAAGATCGCTGACCCCACTCGCCATTTCTATGTTACCAGTGACGCCTCCGACTTCGCCATTGGAGCCGTACTGTCCCAACATTTTCCCCGCGACATTGTCGAGACCCCGTCCATCAAGGACTCACCCACTCACCTTGAGGCTCCACCCAGCGAATACCCCATCGCCTTTGCAAGCAAGAAGCTCCTTCCTGTGGAGATGAATTACCCCTCCAACGAGAAGGAACTCCTCGTCGAGATTCACGCCCTCACAGTCTGGCGCCCGTACCTCGACGGGCAGTACATCACCATGCGCACTGACAACACCATCGTGTCCTCCGTCCTCTCCAAGAACGGTATCACTCCACGCCAAGCCCGCTGGCTAGACTTCCTTGCCCAGTTCACATTCACCATTTGCCATACCCCCGGCAAAAGCAACAGCGTTGCTGATGTCCTCTGCCGACGACCCGACCAGAAGCCCCCCGAGAAAGTCTACGCCGCCATGACTCATATCCAACTCCTCCCAACACTCCATGACTCATATCCAACTCCTCCCAACACTCCATCATCGATACACCCAAGGCTACCCCTCTTGCCCAGACTTCGCCACCATCTACAACAAGCTCTGTGATCTTGACCCAGTCCCCGACTACTCCCTTCGTGACAACCTTCTCTACATCGATACCAAAGGCACTCGCCGACGTTGCATCCCCGACACACTTAGTCTTTGTACTCAGCTCTTGGCCGCGCACCACGACGCCAAGACCGACACCTCGGTTTCCAAAAAACCTTCGACACCATCTCTCGCTACTTCTCATGGCCTTCCTTGCTCGCCGACGTCAAAGCATACATTCGCTTATGCCCCACGTGTCAAGCTGTCAACCCCTCGAACCGGGCCAAACCCGACAAGCTCCCATCATTGCCCATCCCATCTCACCGGTGGCAGTCCATCTCCATGGACTTCGTGTGCGGCCTCCCCAAGACCGACCGCGGGCATGATTGCATCTACGTCATCGTCTGCCGCTTGACCAAACGTGCCCACTTCATTCCTTGCACGACTTCGCATAGTGCCAAAGACGTTGCCACCCTCTTTTTCGATAATGTCGCACGCCATCACTGCCTCCCCGAGAACATCATTTGTGACCAGGATCCCCGCTTCCTCTCACAATTCTGGAAACACCTCTTCTATGCATATGGAACCACGCTCAAGTATAGCACTGCATTCTACCCCCAGATCGATGGACAAACCGAGAAGCTGAAGGATACTCTCCAAAGAATCCTGCGGAAGTATTGTCATCCACACCAACACGATTAGGACCAATTGCTCACAATCGTCGAGGTCGCCTATAACAACGTCGTCTGCCCTTCCATTGCCATGTCCCAGTTCTACCTCGACCTTGGCTACCATCCTCGCTTGCCCTCCGACTTCCTACTTCCCTCGCAACTCAACCCCTACACACCCTGCCCTTCCCTCAATGAATGGGTAGCAACAATGAATCGACTCCTCAGAGAAGCAACCGAAGCCCTTGAAAGAACACAAGAACAACAAGCAAACAAGATCAACAAACGCAGATGAGACTTGCAATTCAAAGTAGGGGACAAAGTTTGGCTCTCCTCCAAACGCTTTAAACCCGAACATGGATTGTCAAAGAAACTCTCGAACAAATGGTAGCAGAAATTCAAGTGCACTTCTGGGCTTCCGACCAAGATGCAGCTGGTTGGGAGGCTTACCAGTAGTACTGTGCACAACATTGTTGTACAGGCTGGCGGTCGAGAGGTAACTTCTCGTCCCAGTCATCCTGACTGGGCTTAATATAATGCCGAAGTTTTGTCTTGTCATTTGACTCGGGGTGATTTCCTGACGTCATTTGGAGCTTGGTACCCATCTGTTCAGCTGTCGTTTGCCACAGTTCGCTAGTAAACCTTACATCCCTGTCACTTACTATCGACGTAGGTAGTCCAACATCCTTGACCCAGTTATCCAGAAACAGTTTGATGACATAGTCGGTTTTAGCAGTTTCTGGCATAGCGATAAGGTTTGCATACTTAGAAAAGCGATCCTTGTCACGAAGATATTTTTTTCTAGACCTGCTGGTCACAAGGGTATCCATGAAATCCAAGGACACACTTTGATCAGGACCTTCAGGAGTCGGCAAGGGCTTGATGAGCCCAAGCGGAGCCTGAGTCCTGGGTTTGTCCCTTTGGCAAACCTGGCAGGTTTCAACGTACCTTTTTGCATCTTGCATCATAGTGGGCCACCAGAACTTCTGCACTAGATTAGCTGAAGTCTTTTTATAACCAAAATGACCAGTTGCATCATGATTTTCTCCTAAAAATAAACTACGCACACAATGTTTTATTCCGTGCCTTCTCAAGAAACAGCAAGCCGTTTACCATCGTAAATTCATCCAAAGTTTTTTTTTGTCCCTTGCTTGTAATCTACGGATGATCTCAGAGATAACTGGATCTTGCTGATAGGCCTCCACCAATGATTGAGTTAAGTTGTTAGATATGCCAAATTCTGTCACTAGCGCGCCTAGGTAATCTACCCGACGTGACAATGCATCAACTACCTTGTTGTACTCTCCCTTATTTGGATCAAGTTGATAGTCATACATGTCTATCAATTGAATCCATCGCCTTAGTGCGTCAGAGCGTACCGGCTGTGTTTTGATCCAGCGCAGGGTCTCATGGTCAGATCTCACATAAAAGAATATGCCAAGGAGATAGTGTCTCCAATGGACCAGAGCTCGGTAAAGGGCGTAAAGCTCACGCTCGTAGGTAGAGCTGACTAGTTTATGAGACAACATCTTTTTGCTCATGTACTCGATAGGTCTGAACTCGGTCCCCTCCTTTTGCGCAAGGACTGCGCCTATGCCATACTGGCTAGCGTCTGCGGTCACTACAAATGGCTTATCAGGATCGGGAAGTTTAAGAACCTCATAGTGGGTCATAGCATACTTCAGTTTCCTGAAGGCCGGCTCACACTCTTTAGTCCACTCCCATGGGGTGTCCAGTCGAGTTAGATCTGTTAATGGGGAAGCTATAGTACTATAGTTCTTTACAAACGGACGATGCTAGTCCGTCATCCCCCAAAACGATGTGAACTCAGTAATAGTCTGAGGTCTGGGCCAGTCACGTTGTCGAGCGCATCGGCCCCTGCCTTTTCTCACGAAGAGGCGGGAGCCCCCTCGGCCATGTCACGCAGGAGTTTAAACAGAAAACTATAGAGACAACTTGAGGATGATGAAAAACATTCCGCGAACCGTCGAGACGACCGAGGTTGCGACGTCCCTTTGCCGCTCTAGCCGTGTGCGCCAGTTGTGCATCCCGCCGTCCCCTACACCAAGATAGGTTACCGCGGGGCACAACTTGCTTCCCTAAGGGGCTGTCACCACCCTTAGGGGTGCATCCCTACCGAGCTACTGACCCACGTGCGAAAGCTTTTACATGCAATTGTAAAGGTAGGTCAGCCGAGGGCGTTTGCTCGCTCGCTGTACTATAGGTAAGCGCGATTAAAACGCCTATTTAACCCGGACGTTGTCCGTTCCTTAAGGCGCTGATCTCCTAAGTACGAAGCGTACGTCGGCCGACAAAGATGGTCTCAACCAAGCGTGAAACTTGCCCCTTTAAACACTAGTCAATAGGAAGTTATAACAATCACACATAGTTATACCAAAAGGAACTGTACTTAGTCGATAAGAATGTATATCCCATCTGCAATGATAATCGAAAAAATTGAAATCATCATATTAGATACCCAAGATCAAAATAAAACTCGACCACCCCGGGTCGATCTCCACAAAAATCATACAACCGCCAACGAGGAATTGGCTTTAGACAATAACATATATGCAGCTGACATGGTAGTCGGACAACCTTAGTTTTGACTTGATGAGATGCGTTGCCGAAGTTATTCATTCCATATACCACTGACCTAAGATTAAACACATACATCGTCTTGATAGATCCTTAGTTTTCTTGGATGACACGCTGTTTTGTGAATGATTCTTTGATCAGGTGCGTTACTTGAGGTGTTGCATATCTCTCGCCTTAGGAAGTGGTCTGGGGTACTCCTCCTCCTCGCCAAAGCACAAGACTCAGATCTCAGCAGTCGGGCCGTGTCCACCGAATCGGCAAAGTGCCCCCCCGTAGAACGGTCCACTCTGGGTCGATAACAGGGTCGGCTCCTAAAGCAACGAACACCCGCCCCAGATGCTTCCTTGAAAGAGACAAAGCGTCCACCACAAGTAAATTTCCAGTTGTTCTCATCCTCCACTGCCTAAGGTAATTTAGACGAAAAGAGTCAGAGGTGATATAGAGAATGAGAATCATTTTGACAGGTAAAGGTAGATAAAGTCATTCAGGTTAGAAAGGGTCAATCCTTGGGAAGAGTGAAATTCATCATACTTTGATTCTCTTTCTGTTTTCAAAATTCCTTTTCTCACTGCACCCATCGATTATCCTTCAAAAATAGCAAGCAAGTTCACCCAACTCACTGACGAAAGGAAAAAGGTAAGCAGGCGAAACTCTCCGTCCTTTTGTCAAATAGCATTTTGTCCCACTTTCGTACGTAGTCTTTTTACTCACCTTTTTACTCACCTGCACACCACGCAGACAACACATCAAAAGAAGACAAGCAAAGTCCCACTACTCACGTCAGACCCACCTTTTCACTCATGCATGACGCCCACAACCCCACTCAACCTTTTATCCTGAACATTCAAAGCAAAAGGGTCAAGCAATGTGTGGGTGCACACAGGTGTGAAGGGAGTCTGAGTCGTCCACTGACTGACCTTGAGTGAATTGGTGTCGAATGCGCCGTGGCTCACTCAAGAAAGTCAAGTAACATATGCGTGTCGCCGAAGAAGCCTCAGTCTCGAGGTAAGTCTTGGGCCAACCGCTAGTCCCAATTTACTCTTGACTCGCAAGTCCTACTCGCGACAGTCCCAAGTGTGAAGGTGGCGAGCCGCACTCGTCCCAGAAAAACACTCAGTCTGGTACCACATCAGTCCCAACTGGTCCCAAGCGGTCCCAGATGGTCCCATGCTGTTCCAGGTGGTTCCATGCTGTCA